AAACTATAAAGACAGACTTGAGTCTGTAAAAGGACCTATCAACTCGAACTCAGGGGCTTAAGTGCCTGAACTAGGAGTGCTTCTGTTGGGGCTGAAGTGCCAACAGAAGGAACAGTGCGGTCAAAAACTGATGATTTCTTATTCAGAGGCATTCAGCTGGGTTTAAGTAAGCTAAATACAAGATGGCCAATTTGTGGGTCCAGGTATTGGCAGAAATGAATAAAAAAGAAGTTGAATAAAGAGGTTGGGGCCATCTGAGGCAGAAAGGAATAAGAGAGGGAGATCAGAAGACAAGTGAACTTCCAACAAAATCCCTTATCATGTTTCCCTCCCGCTCAAATCCCTCATGTATAATATATAAGGAGGCCTTATGCCTGCCATTGTGTATCCCATAATCCCATCACTCCACCCTTCAACAAAAATTTATCACATGCCTGTTAGAATCCATAAGGTAGTTGTGTCTGGTGAGATTTGAACTCACAACCTCAGTATAGCCAAGACACATGCTAGAGTGCTGCTTTTAACCAAATAGGCTACAGATGCTTATTATTGCAGCTGAATTTGACATTTCTGTGTGGTTACTAAAGTTATGCTTGTAATCTTCTGGGATCAAATCTTAATGTGCGTTTGCACTGCTTCTCATGTTACCAGTTACAAGTATTATAATATTTGGGTGTCAGTCTGCATAGAGCAGATTTAAACTCCAAAACTGCCTGCATTTGACATGCAGAAACTCCCAGGAAGCTTCTGTTGTTACTCCAACCTTTCTCCAAGATTTATTCAACCAAGCTTTGATGCACAGTCACTGTGCATACTGCCCAGTAATTGTGCCAAAATATCTACATATTCAAGCAGGCAGAGTTTGGATGACAGCTTGGCTAGAGCATGATCTGCTGGCAGTTGAGTGAGTGTTTTTTGAATTTCCACACCTTGGGTACTGGTCAACAACTACTCAATCACCTATTCTCAGCTGGGTATCTTGTCTTATATTTTTATATCACCCTTTATCTCACAAATACAAAAGTCTTAACTTCACTAATCAAAACAGAAAATAAACAGAATAAATAACAAGTCTTTTGGTTGATTCCCTCCCGGAGCATTATTTGCTGAAGGGTCCTCAGTTCAACCCCTGCTTGAAGTATTTGTAAAACATATTTTCCTTTTCCCTTATCATTCTTCATCAATTATCTCACATTTATCAATCAAGCACCCCTTTCACTTCAGCCTTGATCAACAACTGTCAACAATACATTCTTCAATCAAACAACTTATCTTGAACACATGCTCTATCATGTTAATGAAATCTGCCCAGTGTACCTTGGTGGTCATGTTTTCTGATAGCATAGAAATGCAGAGCTTGCAACTCAATCATTTTCTAAATTCAGAAAAAGGGTCATACAACCACTTTTGATTCTTACACCAGAATAGAGGGGAGACATGAATTTGAGGTCTGGAGTGATGTTGGGATGGTGTGACAGTCATCCATTGTGGTGGTATCATGAGAACACAGGACTTGAAGACCTCATGTCAAATTAGCCTTGTATGAAAGTAAGAGACTTCCATATTCTCAGCACTGTGGATCCATGGGTCCACCAGGCCAGCAATCTTATGGATTCTGGTAAATCCTTGCTTCAAGATTCATTGAAAAAAGTTTTTTCATTATTTTCAAAATTTTGCTGAAATATATGTAGATGTGTTATGAGGACAAGACTTCGGCCAAATTGAAGCAGAAATTCAGATGTATCAGAGGAAATTGGGTGTGGTTGTAAGGGTTTTTGATGATTAGTATTAGGCTTAGGTCATGTTTGTTAGTGTGATACAATGGGTGGTTTGGAAACCCTATGCATATCCTGTCATGTGCCAAATTCCCTCACATTTCAACTGCTATTATTCTGGTTGTAGCACATAAAATATTATGTGTGTCATAAGATGCTAACAATTTTAGCTGACAATTTTTGCTCTGCCCATTGCATCTTCTCTAGCTTAACAACAAGCCCCACCTTTGGGACTCGCAAAGCGAGCCTTTTTTTATTAAGTGAAATTTTGCCATAGCATTGCACACTATTACTCTTAAGTATCACCCTACATACACATGTAAAATATTCAAAAAAAACCTGAAGAAGAAAGATCACAATCAGAGACCAAGGAAAATACACAAAAATCACATTTTAAACCACAATGAGATTTCCTAACCATTAGAAGACACCCACTTGAGATAAGCAAGCACTGCAAAAAAAACCATGCCCAACTGGCAGTTGACATGCAGAAAGTCCAGCAAAGCTTTCGGTATTGCTCCCACCTTTCTCAGAGTGATTCAACAATGCTTTGATGCACAGTGACTTTGCAGACTGCACAGTGACTGTGGGAGTTTGGAAGAAGAGAGAGAAAAGAAATGACCAACATCCAGTCATAAAGAGACTGATGGAATGAGATAGCTGAGACAGAGATTGAGAACAATGAGGAAAGACAAGGAAAAAGAGAGACATGGTTAGTGAGAAGAAAGAGTGTTGAGTATTCAGATTAGATTCTCACAAGACAGAAGAGAGGAAGATTGAGAATGAGGATATGAGGAGTGTTTTTGAGTGGAATTGAGGATGAAGTGATTTGAGAGTCTCGATGAGTGAGTGGTGATTGAGGGCATGAGTGATTGAAAGGGAATGAGAAGAACCAGAGTGGTAGTATGGAATGAGAAAGAAGAGGTGCAGGAATGAAGAGAATGAGTGTCAGTCTTAGAGACAGTGTATACCAACTATATACTGCCCAAAAGGCTTCATTATAAAATTTGTTTACTTTCACCAGGGGACCATTTTTGGCACTAGCCTGGCAAGCGCCATCACAGAGGGCTTCCCCTAGGTTTTTTTTGGATGTGTGTTGAATTTTGGTTGTATCAAACCTGTATGTATGACTTGAAGAGGATGTTCTGGAAGTAATTGGTGTGTTTTTATGACACATGTGTACAACTTATGTTGAAATCAAGGTGATCCCTCCTTGAACATTATCATTTCAAGTCCTG